GGAAAATGTGACGTTACGTGACACATTGTTTACAAGCCATTATATTGGCATCTTTGCACGACTGAAACACAGATTGAGCGTTTACATGAGACAGGATACAGATTGTAAAGTTGTACTCTTTCTTTTAACTTACCTTCAGATGTTTAGTCATGTTTATTTTGTGCTATAACTAGTAATAAAGCGGAGGAGATGATCAGTTCACTGAGGCGCTACAGCGATCTGTCACTCCTAAACGGCACCAAAACGGCATTTATTGTTTCGATACTGCAATACAACAGACAGAATTTGAAATCTGAGACTTTGTTTCATATTAAAAGTACCAAAGCACAATGCTTATAGAGATTATATTGGATGGGAGGTGCGCTTCAATGCTCCGTCCATTAACTGAAAACAGGCTAGACTAATCGATTCTTGGGATTTAGGAATTGATATCGTTCCGTAAAAATGAGAATCGATTAATATCGAAATATAGATATTTTTTGCCCAGCCCTAATTATAATCATGTCCATAAGCTTTTTGTGAAATTTGGAGAAACTCATGAATCTGTTGTTTTAGCTCTTCATATTTAAGGAGAGAACTATAGTTTCCAAAGTCGGTCATCATTGCTTGTTATGATTTTCAAGTGTGTAGAGTTTAGTAGACGCTACATGATCCCACTAATATCACACACTGCTGAATTATCCCTAGCAATAATTTTGATCCAACAATGAAATGTCTGTTGTCTGCTGTTATGTCCCCAGCAGCGCCAAAATCAATCCTAGTGTTTGTTAAAGCACCTAGTGATGTTAATAAAGACGTCTAAGAATGTCTAAAGCAATGCATGCCCCTCGTGCTCATAATATGAAAATATAAACTACACAAAACAAGCAAAAATATCTGCCAGTGGGGCAAGAAAAATAATCTTGTTTAGCTTTGAATTAAGATGATTTTTCTTACTCCATTGGCAGATATTTTTGTTTGTTTTAAGCAAAAATGAAAACAATTTTGATAATGTTTTTAGAAAACAAGACTTAATATCTTAAATCATTTTACTTGTACAGTAAATGAATCTTGAATCATGAATGTTTGGATATTTATACTAGAAAACAAGACCGTTTTTGCAGTGTATTATGAGAAGCAAAATGTTGAATTGGGATTTTATCTTCTGCAGGAAGTGTGC